TGCCTGGAACACTGTATACACTCAATAACTGTTAGCTATATAGCCATATACAGTGCGGAGTTTTTAGAGGGAGAATGATCTTGGCTTATCCAAGGGGCAAGGAGCCCAGCATAGACATAATAAAGTAGTGGACGCAGAGTAACAGGGACCAGATCAAGCAGAACTTGGTAAGGATTTTAGATCTATTTTGGGTGGGATGTAGACACTGTAACATTTTGATCAAAGAACTGCCATTTGTTTTAAGAAGGATACTATATTTTGAAGAAAAGCCTGAGGAGAGCAAGAATAGAAGCAGGGAGACCAGATGAGAGGCTACTGTCATAGTCCAGGTGAGACGATGGTTGCTTAGACTTAGGTGGTAACAGTGGAAGTGGTAAGAAGTAAACATATTCAGGGCATATTTTAAGGTAGACTCATTAGGGCTTGCTGATGGATTACAAATGGATGTGAAGAGATGAGAGGAATTAAAGATGACTAGGTTACAAATAAAAGATTTGGAACTGGGTAACATTTATTAAGATGGAAAAGAGTGGGTTTGAGCAGAAAGTCGCGAGTTTTGCTTTGACCAAATATTAGACATCTAAGATGGATGTCAAGTAGGTGGTTGGGTGTAAGTCAGGGGAGAAGTTAATATTGAAGACAACATACGGATGGTGTCAAAAGCCGTGGGATGAACTCATGCTTTGAGTGTAGCCAGAGAAGAGGACCAAAGCCTAAGCCCTGGGTCATTTCAACATTTAGGGATCAGGAATAGAAGAAAGAATCATCAAAGGAAATGAGAAAGGGACTGAGGTAGGAGGAAAACCAGGAGCTTGTGGTGTCCAGTGAAGAAAGTGTTTCAAGAATGAAGGTGTGATCAATTGTTAAATGCTTCTGAGAGGTCAAGTAGGATACCATCTAGTCAGCGCAAACTAAATCCTTCTCTCAGCTCTATTTTCTCACAGTGCTTTATTTGTACCTTTCTCATTGCAATTTCCATCTATTATGTGATATGGTTATTTTTGTCTTCTCTCCTCTTACAGAGGTTCCTTAAGGTCAGAGACCATGTCTTGTTCCTCCCGGAACACCCACTACCCTATTGGCTCAATAAATGTTTGAAAAGACAAACGAATTGTGGAATTCTATAAAATCTGGGAGAAGATGCCTAACACACAGAATTAGCAATTAGAGTTGGTTTTACTGAGATGTCCTCAATGTTCTCCTTTAAGACTAACATGAATGCTTTGTTCTGCCTAGAATGAAAGACGTCCACCATATATTTGAGTTGGACTATTGCTAATCACAATCTATCTGGCATTTCTATTTTCTTACTCTAATGTTTCATGCATGATGTAGTCCAGAAGTAACTTAGCTTTTACCTGACTTGTATGTATGTATGTATGTATGTATGTATAAATAAATAAATAAATAAATAAATAAATAAATAAATAAATTTTTCCCCAACTTGACTATCCTTCATCTTAAGTTGGCTCCAGTTGATACTATCAGAGGTCATCAGTAACTTTATGTCACACTTGAATATCAGCATCATTACAGTACATCAGAGACATCAGCATAAGTTGACATTTCATATTATATGATAATTAATTTCAAAACCATGACAAAAGGAGCTATAGAGATATAGGCACTAGGAATGACCAAATTCTTAAGGGAGGTGTGGTTGAGATGGCATACTCAGAAAAAGGCTAGTAGTCAGGGGATGAATTTTTTCCCTAGGCCTGCACAAAATGGATCAGATACAGTTAACAGGTCATTGAGTTACTGTCTCTGGAAAACAAAGCTAAAAACCAACAGTTGCAGTAACAAGAATATCGACATCCAAGTTACGGATGTAAGCTTTCAGCAACATCACTTATTATTTGGAAAATGTGCACTAGACAACACAAAAAGACAAAGTCATCACATCCCAAACAAGTACAGTATCCCCCTAGAGATCAGAAATGCCTGCCACATATGCCAGTGCCACAGAAAACCACCCATCTGGGAAGCCAGCCTCTCTTGGCTTGGCCTTAGGCACTCCATCTGGGGCTCTTGGTGATTATTTTCCTAGAATGCTACATTTCAGCTCCCTGGCTCTTTTGGTGAGCCTTATGGTGGCTCCCTGAGAGCAGTTACTCACCTTTGACTCCTGCTTACCCTCATACTTAAGGATTAAGAAGTTTTCTTCAGTCCATTGACCACTTACCTTAGTGTTTGTTTGTATTTGGACAGATGTATTTATAAAGAGAACTGTGGTTCACAGCTTGTACTAAACCTTACTTGAATGTGTCTTGTCAAATAATGGCACTGCTGAGCAGCCAGACTATCCACCTGATAGTGGCACTATGACTCTAAACTACTGCATCGCTTGCACATGGTACATTGCTTGGCATGAAATTAGATACTCAGGTTACACTTGGTGAATGAATTTCAAGAGTGACACTGACAAAAATGGGACATATCTGGAAGATGGAAGGAACAGGCTTGAGATATTTTGTTTGGAGTCAGAAGCTTTAAAGCATCTTTCAAACAGAGTTGCCAGAAAAGGACGGAAAAGCCTTATGCTATAAACTCGAAGTCATTAGGATCTAATGATTTAATGCAGCATTTCCCAAACTAGAGTTCAATATGATGTGGTACTAGGGGGAAAAATCCTATAATTAAGAAAGTTTGGAGAATGCTGGATCAAATAGGTCTTTCAACCTTAGAACTCCTCAGAGCTTTTAATATATCAATGTGCTTTGTATTATGAAGCTTTTTCCAAACTTCCATTCAACAAGTATTTAGTACAGTCCACTATATTCCAGGCACAGTGCTAGGTCCTAGGAATACAATACTGAGCCAAACAGATCTGGTCTCTATTCTTATGGAGTTTACACTCAGTGTGAGTAGTAACAAATACCACATAAAGATTTATTACAAACCACAGTAAAGGTTATAAAGTTCATTAGCATCTTCTAAGTAATATGTGAAGCAGACAGATACCTTTTCGACTCAATATAAAAAATTGAAACCCAAATATTTCTCTTAAAGCTTTTCACGAACATGGATCTGATAGCCTACCTTAGTTTGAATAACCTTGCTCAGAGGTCTAACACATTTCCCTTGCTAAAAATGCGTTACATTTTCAGAAGTCAAGTCTAGAGGCAAAAGCAAGACACAATCCACTCATTTATGAAAAGGTCAGAATTAATAAATACCTCCAGATGCTTGATGAGAATAGCTCCAACTTTAGGGGCTGCTTAAATTAGAGTGATGTTGAAACAGATGATATGTACTGCGGTCTATGCTGCACCTAAAATGAATGTGGACTGACGCAAGGATGTGATCCACAGTGGTTCCTACTGAAACTAGGTGATTTGAGTAAGCAGGTCTTCATCAGTAATGCAAACCTGAACCAACTGCACTTTGTATATTGATTTCTAAACAAAGTTCTTCCTATTTTTATAGCTGGTATTTTTCACAGGAAAATACAACATTGATTTTAAGGTGTCATTAAATAATCCTGAGTTAATTTTTTCTCCTTTGTATACACATTTGCAAAGCACCAATGATGTGATACACACTCCACTAGGAACCGGGGAAAACAAAGAGGAAAGAGGCTGGTGATGCTTTATTTATCCTTGTGATGTGGGGGTGGGGAAGCTACAGAGGGGAAGCCAAATTAATCACTTTCAGAAGAATCAATTGGTATGTCAAAGCATGTTGACGCTCCTAAATCTTCAGATTTATCTTTACCTCTCTCGTTCACTCCAACACATTCTCAGTTAACAAAAACAATTATTTAAAAACCTGAATACTTAATGAACCACTTAAAAGATCTAAAAACTGAGTCTTTTTTCACACTATGGTTACTATATTGTTCCTACTAGATTCTACAGTAGTATTACATTTGCTAATAAGTGTGGAGAATTTGTAATTCATGTTTGAGAAAATTTAAAGGATTCTTTTGCCAAATAAAGCTATATGGTAAATGAATTTTTATAATTACACAGTGTCATTTAATTTCAAATTATCTGAAAAGAGGCATGCCTCTCTTCTCTCCTCCCCAACATGGGGAATTTTAAATTTTCAGACCAGGAAATGAATTACTTAGAAAACACTTAGGAGAATGATGGAACTCAAAAAGACAGGTAAGTATTTTGACTGACTCCATCCCAGTGACTGACTCTTAATATCATCACACTTGATTTTTCCCTGTCATACCCACAGATTCTACACTTCTATTTCAACTATGTTGGCACATCTAACAGGAAATCCAACTTACCTCAGACCTAAATATCAATAGTATGATGAATAAAGTGAGACTGTCGTTCTTCGGAATGACCCACATAAACCAAATTTCTGAAAATTGAAAGAAAAGGTTACCTTACATAGCCTATATGAAATAAACATACCCCAGAAAGATAACCATTAAAAGTTACTGTCACTCAATATCAAATCTTGTATATTGTTTTCTTAGCAAATGATCAGTCCCTATCTAGTTTCCAATTGAACAGGGGATAAATGTAATAGGATTAGTCCACTCATGGGTTCACCTCAGACTGACTGGAATATAATCCATACATCACCATGCTATAAAGAATGGTAGGTCAACCTTGTTTAATAATGAGCAGGCTACTTTGGGGCTCTAAATATATGAAGTGCATACCAATTCAACTTTATCCATGGTCAGAACTTAGGTCATCCAAATGAAAAACGACATTAGGAAGGACAAGCAATTTATTTAGGCTGAGTTTATTCCCTCCTAGTTAACAGTGCCAATAATTTAAAAACATATCTTCTTTTACTTAGTGGGGTCACTACCAAGGATGAGTTAAACAAGCACATGGAGATTTTTGGCCCTCTCCAATTTTCTTTCATATGTTCTCTTTTATTCCTCATATCTTTTACCATTTCTTTGAGAAACTTTTATGACAGGTATAAGACTAGAGAAATTTTAGTGATTTCCCCAACTGGTAACTTGCTTTATACAAATTTCATTTCCAACTTCTAAAAATAACGACAGACACAAAATTTACTTAATTTTTTAATAAACCATAAAATTTAAATATTCAAATAAAAAGAAACAAAAATAGATATTTAAGCCAGCACTAATCTCTGTTTTTATTCTTCCTCTGGGTATCGGAGGCTTGACTTACCTGGGACTACAGTGGAGTAATACAGTTATGATGCTGGTGTAATAACGAACAAGTGAGTAAAAGTGGGCAATGGCTTGATAAAATTTACTTTCAAATCTGGAAGTAAAGACCAGCGCTCCCTTGAGCCCACTGCAGAGACTTTACACTGGTCCTGTCTGCGGAAAGCTACTACGGCTTACCGTTCTCACCACACTTTCTTCTTCACCGCTTAGCACTCCCTGGCATTTTGATCCTTTTGCTCGCTGAAGCTCACTTCAGTCTGTCAAAACATCAAGGGGGAAAACCCCCAAACTGAATAGACGAATAAACACTTTTAATGTGAACAATCATATTCAGATCAACCTCTTTTGAAAAAATACAAGTCAGTGGGTTTTTTGTCTTTAAGTAACTCAAATATTGCTATTTTTTCTTCCTTTACTAAAATGGTACTTTTCATTTTATTGACATTAGCTAATTATTTGCCACTTGCTTCTGTTTTTCTCCGATCACATTGGTACCCTACGTTTTTCTTTTTGATTGAGCATTATACATTCCACTCCAGCATATTTGACCTTTGACTAACTTTATCTCATTCTGTGAATAAATCTGCTATTAATCAGTGAAAATCACAAAAAGAAAAAGGAAGCAGTGAGCACTAGCAGGCTCTCACTTCAACGTTCATACAATTTTTTATAAGAAAAGCACTTTTATTATGGAATCTAAAACCACTATTGCATGACCTTATGTCTTTTAGCAAACTCAAATGGGTCGACATTCAATATGGACAGCAAGCTGGCTCACAAGAAACAAAGTATAATGCACAAGTATGTTCAGCTGGTAGAATCCCAGCAGCGTGGCAATAAAGTGCAGCAAAAATTTCCTTATATTGAATAAGAACTCCAGTAACCTCTGAATATTTTTGGTAAAGTTAAGGGAAAGCTACTGCAGTCAGGAGACTAGTAATCTTTAGACTTCAAAGACTGGCTGCCAGGGACCACAGTGAAATATTAGACCTGAAGCCAATGAAAAACATTAGCTTGGAAAGGAATAGGTCTTTCCAAAAATGCAAAATTATCTTAAACAGATGCTTAGCCTACTATGATTTGACAGGTTTACAGTGATAAAACAGCAAAGATAAATGATAACATTATTTATATCTTGCACGTGTAAAGAACATAGATTTAAAAATGCAACAAGAACTTCTATGGCAGCTCCTGAGACAAGTTATCCTATGGCCTACATCCTCTCCATGCCAATGATGACTAGTCTGAATGGTAACACATAGAGTAAAAAGTGATCTACTGTATGTGAGTCAGAAAGTGCTGGAAAAGTGACAAAATGGTATGTTATTAAATGACAAAACATATTTAGATGCTTTATTTAAAAATCTCTTGCTGTTCATTATCAAAGTTACAAGATTGTTTGCATACCAATAGACAGACTGTAAACATAGGAAATTTTCATTAAGGAAAGATGGGTTTACTGTAATTTGATCTTTTACAAAAAATTACTGCAAGTTATTGATAACAGAATTTCTCTTTTACTTTCTTGAGTCTAATTCTCTTGAAAATTAAACCAATGTTTCCACTCCCTCAAGCTAAAGTTCAACCATGGTCACCTTAGGAAATACCCCTGTTTATTTGTTAATCAGAAATATGAATCGAATGGCACATATTTCCATTTTCTTCTTAGGCCGAAGGTTTCGGCTTCATTATATTTTACAAGAAAACAGAAGACTTGCAGTGGTCTTGTAAAGTCTTTCATGTCGCAGCTGAGGTTTAATGACGGCAGTGGAGGAAAGCAATGGTGATGCAAAATAAGACCAGCCCAAGTGCCCTTATCTGACATGGAATCTTTTTCCTGTTTGGCTTGTAGTAGTGTTTCTGGTCAGGCTGCCTCCACCAAACCTGATTGAAGCAGAAAGGTGACATGCTCTGGCAAATCCTGTTTCAGGGTGATTCCGCTCAGGCAAATAGTTGATCCTTCAATCTGTTGGTTGCGGGATGATACTAATATGAAGAAAATTATCTGGGTAGCTCAGATGTTCACTCAGCCACTGCAGAGGTGTTTCCAACATTGGCTCAATTCCATGAATCATCACTTGGTTCTTTTTTTCCCCATCTATTCCAAGAAAGAAATCCAACAATAATCAGTAAGAGTCAAAACAGTTCAAAAAAAAAAATACTCTGCTGCTTTTTGAGAATCCTTAGTGAATTAAATGGATTTTACAGCTCTAACAGATTAAACCTGGTCTGCCTCCCGAGCAGGAAATGTGGACATGGAGAAAGTTCAAATGTTGCAATATGTATCACCCAAAACAGAAACCTGAGGGTTACAATGAATTCTGATAAAAATTCTGTTGCTATATGTGAAAGTATTCATTCTTTCTTAATTACTGTGCTTACCTAAGATTGACGTTAATGAAACTACAGTGGAGAAAACAGCCCATTTGTACCCATTGACCAAAATTTATTTTAGTTACACATTAAAAACTGTACTATCTGGCTATTAAAAACGGGTCAAATGAAGTGGGTCAATACATATTTAAAATATGTAAAGTAGAAAAGTAACTAAAAATCATCAAGAATAAGATGAGTGTTTAGGAAGATGTTTAATAAAACAGAGGGGAGTTGTAGGTTAATTTGCAGTAAAGTTGTTTAAATATATATGAGAAAGTTTTAGAGACACTCTAGAATAAGAGTTACAGTCTTAATGAGAAGGAACAAAGAGTCTGACTCAGGGATTCCTGATTTGGAGTCAAGAAACTTGACTGATTTTTGTTAACACCTATTAGCTAATAAAAGGCTGCTGCAATTCACACTTCTCTTTGAAATTCAAATTTTACTACAAATTAAATTTAAGGTTAGTTTTGTACCTTTTATGATTTTGGTATGATGTACTGACAATCTTTAAAGTAAACAGAAGCACCCTTGGTTGTTATAGGAAAACAAAGAAAGCAAACCAAACTCCTCTTTTGAAAAACAAAACCAAACATAGAACCTTCAAGAAACTTTGTGTCACTCCTTTAGCACAATTCTTCGTTTGTCTCTTTTAATCTCTTCAAAATACAATGTCCAAACCTCAACTTCCTGGAGACAGAAGACAACAAGGAAACAGGGAATTCATGGAACTATATGACAGGGAAATATCCTACTTTTCCCCTTTGGCTCTGTTCAAAATGACTTTTGCATCCCTAGCGCTCTCATGTCTAGGCAAAATGGGTTGATGATGTATGGTGATAATGGCTTGCCTGGCACCTGAAACAAGAGACCCCTTTGAAGAAATATTTAAACTTCCTGTTAGAGGCAGCACAGTCCTAGGAGGTGACCAGTCAACAGACTGACAATAAGAGAGAACACAAAAACACCACAGAGAATTCATAAAAAAAGAATGTGCCCAAATAAAAACCTAAAAAACATACTATCAACCCCAAAGATAACCAAATAAAAATTCCAAACAAACCCCTAAATCACTGTCAGAGTTTAAAATAATTTTGGAAAAAGATATCACCTTAAAGATACCAACCTAAAAAATGCTTTCACTGTTTTGATTTTTCTTCCAATCTTTGTTGCATCTATATATCCTTTCACACAATGGTGATCACAGTATTAACACAATAATTAGTTTTCACAATGATGGGAATCATCTATAAATAAAAGATTAAGCAATATACAGAATACTATAGAAAGCATGGTATTAGTACTCTGAGAAGATTTTAAAATGTTGGTATTCAAATGGATAAACCCTCAGCTATCTGGAATGATTCATTCTTTTTAAGTTCTAGATTGCGAAGGTTTTACTGTATTAAATCTTTCTTAGAATATTTGAAAACATTTCCGGTGTAGGTTTTCTTCATATTCTTATTATATATTTCTTTGAAATATTTTAATATTCTCAGAATCTTCCTCCTACTTAGCACTGAGTCAAAAAATGAAAGAGCAGCGGTGTAAGAGTTAAAGTTCCTTATCTGTAAAGTTTTTCCTTAAGCCAGAGACACCTTCGGATATCCAAACACAGTACTAGAAGAAACAAGTCACAACTCAACATCCAAAATACTGTGCCTAAAGCAATATTTAAACATGGGAGCAAATACAACATGGCATACAATCTACTTATGACCAGTGTGTTTTAAAAGACAGAAAACCAACCCTGTACACAAAAGGGTACATGGAGCTTATAAGTTGTACAACAGAAGGTGGAGAACATAAGCACTATTCAAACACTTTGTATAACAAACATAAATCACATTATCAGAAACCTGAACAGGCAGCACTGATTCTCTGGGTTAAATTGGGGCCACTTTTAACCTGTAACATAAAAGTGTCACTAACTAAATTTAGACAACTAAGGAAGTGGATCTAGGGCTGTCATTTCCCTCAACACAACGGTTTAAGATTTTAAATATTTTGTCACTGCCTACATTTGTCCAAATATAATCTTTTTTTGTTTTCTGACTTCCCCCAATAACACAACTATCACCAGATAGTTGTAACTATCTGGTAGATCACTAGTAACTAAAGTTCCTCTCTTATTCATCACTATATCCCCAATACTTAGCAGGGTGCCCAACACTTAGTAATTAATCAATAAATGTTTTCAGAGCTTAAATAATTTTACTGCTGGTAGAATACACCGCCGAAACTAATGTTTTGAGAATAGTTTCTGATGGCTATCACTACACTAAGTGGAAAGAGCTCTACCTATAAAGACTGTTTTAGCAGGGGCCGGCTGGGTGTTGTAGGGGTTAATAAGTTCGTTCGGTGGCCCCAGGGTTTGTGGGTTCGGATCCTGGGCGCAGGTCTATGCACCGCTCATCAAGCCATGCTGTGGCAGTGTCCCACATAGAGCAACTAGAAGGATGTACAGCTATGACATACTACTATCTACTGGGGCTTTGGGGAGAAAAAAGGAGGAAGATTGGCCAGAGATGTTAGCTCAGGGCCAACCTTCCTCAAAAAAAAAAAAAAGTGTTTTAGTTATTAAAACAAAAAGTCAAAATGTTTCCAGATAAGCCAAGGAGTATATCATACTATCACCTAAATTCACGCTACGATAAGTTACAATAAAGCATGACTGGACATTTTGGCAATATCAGAACTAACAAAATGAAGCAGTGAAAAATTAGCAGATGTTTCTTTTTTTTTTCTTAACAGTAGAAAGGAAATGCTTGATGATATTACTAAAGTAAATCATGTTTTTGGTAAATATGTCTTTGTGTTTCAAAATGGGAATCTAGAATTTAATACTTGGGAATAAGAAATATGTCACTACAAAGCAAATGACTCAGGAGAAAATGTTATTCCACACCTCACCCACTCAGATTTTTTTAAAAGTGAGCTTGATGCTTTAAAGTAGGCAAACATTTGAGACAGCAATCAAGTAACTAGTTCTATATGAAATTCTCTCATACAGGGCACTTTTTGGGGGTAACTCTGATATAATTTCAAACTTATGGAGAAGTTGCAAGAACAGTACAAGGAATTCCCCTTCACCCAGATTCATCAATTGTTTACATTTTGCCCCATTTGCTTTATCATTCTGTGTGCATAATTATTTTCTGAATCATTTGAGAGTAAATTAGAAACACTGAGCCTTTTACCCCTAAATATTTTAGTTTGTACTTTCTAATAAAGACATTCTTTTACATAACCACAAGTACAGTTATCAAAATAAAAAAATTTAACATTGACATAATACTATTACGTAGTCATTTCAAATTTTATCAACTACCCCAATTATTTTTTTTCTCCAGTCTAGGACCAGTCCAGGAATCAAGATATCATTTAATTTTCATGTCTCTAAACCCTCCTTTAATCTGGACAGTTTTTAGCCTTTCTTTTCTTTTCTTTTTTTTTTTTTGAGGAACATTGGCCCTGAGCTAACATCTGTTGCCAATCCTCCTTTTTCTTTTTTTCTCTTCAAAGCCCCAGTATATAGCTGTGTATCCTAGTTGTAGGTCCTTCTAGTTCCTCTATGTGAGAGACCGCCTCAGCATGGCTTGACGAGTGGTGAGTAGGTCTGCGCCCACGATCCGAACTGGCAAACTCCGGGCCATGGAAGTAGAACGAGCAAACCTAACCGATACACTACTGGGCTGGCCCCTTGCATTTCTTAACCATGACAATTCTGAAGAGTACACATCATTATTTTGTAGAATGTCCACACAGCAATTTTTTTTTCTTTTTTTTTTTTTTTTGTGAGGAAGATCAGCCCTGAGCTAACATCTATGCTAATCCTCCTCTTTTTGGTGAGGAAGACCGGCTCTGAGCTAACATCTATTGCCAATCCTCCTCTTTTTTTTTTCCCCAAAGCCCCAGCAGATAGTTGTATGTCATAGTTGCACATCCTTCTAGTTGCTGTATGTGGGACGCGGCCTCAGCATGGCCGGAGAAGCGGTGCATTGGTGCGTGCCCGGGATCCGAACCCAGGCCACCAGTAGTGGAGCGTGCACACTTAACCGCTAAGCCACGGGGCCAGCCCACCACACAGCAATTTTTAAACCTATTTATTTTAATTCACCTTGTAAATACAAGGATAGACCTTCATAAATATTTTGGGTGTGTGAATTAAGGAAAAGGCCAGAAACACAGGTTAGAAACATGCATTTTCTTTAGGTAGAGGAGGAATTCAATTCACTTTAAGAGTTAGATATTAAATCTGAAGAGATCATATATCAATACAGAGAATATCAGAATAAAATTTCATTTCTTATATTTATCTTATTTATATATGTCCAAATATTATAAAAGAATATAAAAGTATCATATAATTTTGTATTATTACCAATAGCCTAATGAAAACTCAATTCTTAACTAGTACCTACCTTAAAGTGAGCATTTTTAGAGTTGTGTGACATTTTAAGAAAAATACCTTCAAACAGATTTGCGTTGTATGATTAGAATGGTAAGAATTACATATAGAAGCAAAAAGAAGAAAATTTACGTTATCCACACAAGTCATTAATGAAAATAATGAACTTAAAAAAATGGTAACTTCTTATGTGTATATATATACAAAAAATGATGTCTGTATACACACACACACACAATGAATATAATATTAATGAGACATACAGGAGAAAGGGCCAACTATGTACGATAGTGAACAAGGTGCTACTGAAG